CTAATTGTTTATCCCGGCCATCACTAACTAATAGCAAAATACACGGTTTACCTTGCCGATATGAATCACAAACGATTCCGAAAGATAAATGTTATCTTTTTGCGAAAAACAAGAGTTACGTTTTTTTCTTCAAACATTTGTGAGCAACTGAACAAATGCGCTGCGATATTCGAAAAACACACGTTACTATACACAGTTTAAAACAAAGCGGATGTGTCTACCATATTTTGTTGCGAATTACTCACAAATACGAAATGTTTGAATTTGTTTGGAAGAAAAAACGTAACCAATCCTTTTTTGCATAAAATTAAGATTTATCTTCCGGAATGGTTTGCGGTTCATATCGGCAAGGTAAACTAGTGTATTTTGCTATGAAATGCCCTTTGAACTAACCTTGTATATTGTTCAATAAACTAGTAGTGATGGTCGGAAAACAAGTGTCTTTGAAATTCTCAAAAACTACTTGACCAATCTACTCCAGTTTTGTTGTGGTTATTTAGAAGTACGAATTTTACGAATTTTAAGAATTTCAAATATTTGCAAGAAACCATCGTCGCGTTACCAACAATTCCCAAAACCTGCAGTTTGCCTCGGTTTTTGGCCATAAGTTTTTTGCTATCAGTCGGGTCTTTTTCCGCGTGATCTTATTTTGTAGGTCTCATAAATACCTAAAAATCTTATATGATGAGTTTTTTCGTTCCTGCCAACACTTTCAATTGAATCCTAAAAACACGTTTTCTCATTCTTTGTTGTCGAATAAAAAGTTTTCCCGCAAAAATTGGTGAACCCATTTGTATGCGTCCATGTTTTGAAAACCCCCTTGAACAACTTGCAGCAATAAAACCAGCCTTTTCAATTATTTCGCAGGGGTATTTTCGTCTAATATGACTAGACTATATGATGAGACTTATCACATATGAAACCAAATTTTCTGGATGTCGCGAAAGCCTTTGACAAGGTGTGGCACGCAGGCCTCCTCTATAAACTTATTCAAAACGGTTTCCCTTTTTGGCTATTAAAACTACTCAAATCCTTCCTAGAAGGAAGGAAATTCAGAATCCAAATGAACAGTTTATCTTCTACAACAGGGCGGAGTTCCGCAGGGATCAGTCTTAGGACCACTCTTATACTCGATTTTCATTCACGACTGTGCCGACGACACCGCATTAGTAGCCCAGTCATGTTCTAGTGACATAGTCCATGACAGGCTGCAAGAAGCGGTGGGCGAGGTTTTAGAGTGGGCGAATCGGTACCATGGGCTAACAAAGCCAAATGTTTAGGTCTTACACTCGACAAGGGTATGACTTGGCAGTCACACATTGAACAACTGAAAATTAAATTCCACATTACAATTCGGCAATTGTATCCTCTTCTATGTAGAACATCAAAATTGAGTTTGGTCAATAAGATTCGGATATACAAAACCATCATCAGACCTGCAATAACCTATGCATGTGCGGCTTGGAGCTTTTTAGCTAAGACACATATGCGTAAACTACAAGTTCTGCAGAGTAGAATTCTCAGAAGAATAACTAATGTATCAAACGATACCATCCATAGAGTTCTTGATATCCCCGACCTTAGGGATTACATCATAGATATGGCACAACGGTGCTACCAGCAAGCGGAATCGCGCAGCAACCCTTTGTTGCGTGAAGCAGTGGATTACACAGTCGAGGAGATACGCAAACATTCCAGACCTTTAAAAATTAGTCAAAAATTTATATAGTACAACGTAACAGTTCTTAGATCTGTCACACGTCAAATATTTACATCAAACAATTCCTTTTATTTCTCTTCTCGCTCCTACTTCCTTCCTTTCTTTCTCCCTCTCCCCTTTCCCCTACAACTTGTCTGGTTTCTGGGCCATCAGGCCTGACAGACTGACGACAGACACTGACGTTACAGTGACCACCTAAAGGCTAAGGTCCTCCGGACCGCCTTGAGAAGCAACGGCGAGTAGTATGAAACCAAAGAATAGCTGTGACTGATGAAATGTATTGTATATTATATATGATAAAATTATAATTAAGTACATACAATAGGCACTTCATTGCATGCCTCATTTTACACAACGGATATAATTCGTCGTGGAAATGCTGGTGCCGTAGCAGAAAAATTTATTGTGCGAACAAGAGAGCGCAGTTTATACTTCGTTTATACAAACCTTTGTGCAGCACGTAGAATTTATAAAACATCCACTCGTAGTCTCAAAGGCACGCGTTCTGTAGGAGACCTAACGATCCCTGGTGGAATTGCAAATGCCGTTTGCCTCAACGTAACTTTCCACATTTACACAACAGCGGCGGGTTGTTATCTTTAAGTGCTGTCATGTTTACCCCCTTAAGACTGGATTATGTCGCAGTGTACTTGGTAAACACACATAGATCGATCGGCAAATGTTTGAGTTGTCATTTATGGATGGATTTCGTATATTCGTACAAACAATATCAGTTTTCAAAGTTAGTGTTGTTAACTTCTCCGGACACATCGTTAAATTCCGATACTCACAATTTTAATAATGTAGGCGACGTATGTTTATGTACGAAGATTCATAGGATTTAATATCCATCGTCATCAAGTGAAAAATGTCGTCGAGTAGGTTGACTCTACAGACCAACAGTGCCATAGAGCTTATACAGGATGTCTCAAAAGTCATGCAGCAAACGGAAGGGGCGATAGGGCGGTCATTTACAGAAAAACCATATATTTCCGTATCCGATTGTACACGGTTTCTGAGTTATTGCCATTTTTATGAATTTGCGGAAAATCGCTACTTCTGAGGCTGTACTATTTTTTCGGAAGTTGTCTTTTGTTATTTTCAATCAACTACAACCGGCTATTCTGCAATTTTGCCTTGTACAACAAATTAGTAGGCGGATAGTGAGATTTAGATAAGCAAATATTCCAAATAGTTTAAGCGGAAAGTACTCAAAATGCTACAGGTACCCTAAATCCGGAAATTCCCATTTTTTAATCTTAACCCTTCAACTGCCCTTGTTGATCTTTTTGCTTTCAAATAAAATGCGCAAACACTTATGTGACAATAAATTTTCAAGCCTGAATGAGTTCTAGGTGTATTCAATCAATCCCAGATATGACGGCCTGGACATTATTTTTGGTGTTAAAAGCGTAACTGAAGCAGTGCAGCCTTACCTAATCCGAAGCTTTTTTTCGAAGAACAGGAATTTATTCATTACTTTTGGGCTAGGCTAGTGAATCGTCACTTAATTGGTCTATTTTAATATTATAGAGATTGTGTGTTTGAATTACATAAGGCTGGTAATCGGGCGTACATATTAGGCAATGCTGCACTGTTTCAGTAACGCTTTGAACACCAAAAAAAATGTCAAGGCCGCCATCCCTTAGAATTATTAGACCTAGAATCCATTCAGATTTGACGATTTATTGTCACATAAGTGTTAGCGCATCCAATTGGGAAGGAAAAAGATCATCAATGGTAAAAGGGAATTTCTGGATTTAGGGTTTGCGCATAAACTATTTAGGATATTCTCGTACATTAAATGTATTAAATTTTCACTCATAGGTTTTTTAAGCGATACGTCATTTGGGGACATATCCTGTAAATCTGATTGAAAAATAACAAACGATAACTTCAAAAAATTGTACAGTCTCAAAAGTAGCGTTTTTACAAAAACTCTGATAACTGATGATAACTCAAAAATCGTGCATAATCGGATAAAGTCTTTCTGATTGCAAATGGCTCCCCCTACCACCTACCTCCGTTGGCTCCATTACACCCTGTATACTGGGTAAAGGATAGTTGCTATGATTTAGTTCGTGGGTCCCAGAGACCATAACCTAGACCATGCTCATGAGTTGCCAAAAAAGCTCGACATTGTCTGTCTGGTTGGTCGGATGAAAGCAGCGTGCCTGAGTTAATCTCCCAAAGAAAAAAGTTACTTGCGAACATGTATAACAGAAAAATGAAACGATCAAATCTGCCTAACAGGTCCATACAATTAGTCCATAACATCATTTTTCTGCCCTACCTGTGGTACCATTCATCTGGTAACGTCGCGTCGCCTCTCCTCAATATCTCGAAGCATGATGCGTCACACGGCAGAGCGCCCACCACAGAGCACCAGTCAAGCAGAACACATACGAACACCGGCACGTTGGCCGCGACCGTTGAAACAGCATACGCAGGGACGCTTTTAGAAAACATGTTTCTATCGTTTTAAGGGGACACTCCACGATGTATGAAATTGCGTTACACCCTCTGCCACCCTCCTACAACCCCCACCCCGAATTATGTCCCCTAATTTTTTTTCAAGAATGATCAGGATGCTCTCGAGCGATGTGGATATTATTGTCATGAAACTGATATTTGTCGATTGGTATGGCAGTTTCATAACTGCTCCATACAGATTATTGGGATCCAAGTGCACACACTGTATAATCCACATCCTGAAAATATTTCTGTAATAGAGTTTACATTTCCATCCCTCTGTCGATTGACCTAGACTTAGGCCCGTATCGTCAGTCGTCCCTACAATTGTATTGCGCCTTTATGGCCTCCTTGATTGTCATAGTTTTCTACTTCTCCGTGTCAGCGCTCTATTTTGAGATGTCACAAACATCTATTTGCATCAAATTGTGCTTGCTTTTGAGTTATATCATGTTTCCTACAATTTAAAAAGAAAACATATCTTCACAATAGGAGAGCGCTGACGCTGACATGGGACAAGTGTAATCTAGAAATTTTTGCAGGAGAGAAAGGAGTATGACAATCAAGGAGGCCATAAACGCGCCCTACAATTGTAGTGACGACTGACGATACGGGCCTTAGAGACATCATAGTAGATTCAATCTCGTAGGCACTTCGTACAGAAAGGTGCAATCTTTATTATACGATCCATAATCTATTCAAATCTCCTTTACTTCACCTCAAAATAAGCAATAGCACTCGTTTCCTGCTCCTACTTGCTTGTCGCTGCCTGCTTAGGCATTTGTGAATTTTAATGGGTAATTATCGAATGAGATTCGAATACATAGTTAACATATTTGTTTTGTTGCAGGCGCTACTGCAAGCTCACGATGTGGTATCACGCGAGGTGTACGGCGAGGACGCAGTACGCGTGACGCCGCCCCCACTTCTGCCTTACTTGAACGGCGGCGGCGCCGATGACCTTGACGCCGCATCGGCCGGCGGTGACCTTGACGCCGACATCGCCGACAACGTCACCAGGGTCAGGCTGGTGCAGTTTCAGAAGAACACCGATGAACCGATGGTAAGATTCAACATTCGCTGTTCTAAGAACTTATATTTGACTTTTAAAGATTTTGATGTCATCACTAAAATGAAAGTGCAAGCGGAGACTAGAAAATTGTGTCTCCTTTGTACTCGCTAAACGTCTTTAGATCTTACTCGTGATTGATCAGAAACTTTTACAACATTGCATATTAGGCAGCAGCGCTGGCCGCAGTAGTAGACTCTTCGGTCTCCTGATCAGTCGCCGTGCGCTGTGCGGGTTCGAGTCCCGTCCCAGGAGAAATTTTTCTGTTGGCTATGGATGTTGTGATTGTCCGTAGGTGGTAGACGGTCTCTGACTGTCGAACGTGGAGGTACCACCCGGCGGATCTCGTAGGCGAATGTGTGCATGTTGCATGCACACGTGTTCCCTCGCCAGAGTCCGTGTGGCGTTCCCCCTTTCCCCTGTATCCCCCTATAGCCCCACGGTACCCAATGGGTGTTTAGGCCTTAGGCCTTCGTGGTAGTTGGAGTATAAAAAAAATATTGATTGCGCAATTTTTCGCAAAATAGTAGTTTAATAATAGATTCGTGATTAGTGGCCAGAAAGACCTCAGTATAAACATTTTCACTTTATCTTGTTTTGGATTTTTATAAAGTTCATAAGGGCGAAAATGGCTGGAATGGAGTGTGGAAACAACGCTGTTTTTTGAAAAAATGTCATGATCAAAAGAACTTACCTGTAAGTGATGTTCAATCTTAAGTATATGTTCCGGCCTCGTCGAAGTAAATAGAATAGGTGTAGTACCCCGTTTCCCGGCCAAACCCACCGTGCCCTCCCATCTTCCTGCTGGCCTACAGACTCTCATTTTCTTTAAAGCCTTATTGCAATAATTGGGTGATACTTAGTGAGAGAAGGAGCTACTTACTTCGACGAGGGCCTTCACATAATTAAGATCGATCATTTAGATGCCGAATTCTAGGTGTTTTAGCAATGGTAAGTATACAGTCTATCTGTTGTAATGTTTTACCTTTTTGAAATGTTCTTTCCTTGTACTCTATATATGATTTGCCACATACACTATTGTGTCGTTTTGGTTAAATAAAATACATGCATACGTACAGGTAAGTTTGTTTGATTATGTAATTACCATATGTTCTGGCCTCGTCTCGTGAATAGAATAGGTGTAGATGTTCAAAGCGAGTTGCATCAACATATTACTAACGCTCTGCAATAGTGCACGATATAGGTTGTACATAATTACGGAAATTGTATACAATGTATGTGGCAACTAAATTTGCATTTCTATTGTAACAAAGTTAGGGCTTTTAATAACATCGTACATAGGTTCAAAAATAAAAATTTGTTTGCTTTATAAACAAAAATGTTTCCTTACAAAAACTCGGGGTGTTGAAGTTTTAGGTAAATGGAATTAATTAATATTTTCAGAACCGCTTCAGATATTTCACTGATATTTAGTACGTAGTGAAATTTAATAAAGTTGCATATTTTTCAATGCAGAAATAATTTTTAAAATTAATGGGGAGTAATGCTTGTACTCTTAAAATATGGTAAGGATACAACAAAAAATCCACTAATATTCTCCAAACAATTTGATGGCAAATATTTAAGTGTCTAGCGATCTTCATCGTACTCGTTTCAGGATGTTCTACGACTTCATGCAGCACTGCTTCCTCAATTTCAGGTGTTTTCACACTTAGAGGTCTACCTTCAGATGTTCCTTTTCGGACAGAACCAGTTTCAACAAAACGACGATGAATACTAGAAAAGGTTCGACTATCTGGCAAAGCACGATCGGGATATCTCTGGTGATGAATCCGTCTGGCTTGCTGACCATTACCGTCGGCAAGGCCATATACGTAATGCATTTCCGCCATTTCTCCATTTGAATAATTCACCATTATTAACAAGATTGTAAAAACTAAATAATGAAAAAGATGTCGCATCGAACAGATTTGAATAACAGAGACTTGTCAGATGTCAAAAGCCAGTGACATATTCCAGAGCAACTAGATATTTATCACTAAATTGCATTCTTCAATTATTACATTAATTTTCTCGGTTTTCACGGTTTTTATTTTTTTACTCAAAAATGGCGCATCGAAGGGAAACAATTCAAGAGAGATCATTTGTTTTAAATTGAACGGGGAATTAAAAAATAATTTCTATTTGGCAAAAAACCATTGGCGTACCATTTTTTTCTTAAAACATATCGAAGTCAATACCCGTACGCACGCCACTGTTAAAGCAAAAAATTATTTTTGCATTGAAAAATATGCAACTTTATTAACTTTCACTACGTACTAAACATCAGTGAAATATCTGAAGCGGTTCTGAAAATATTGATTAATTTCCATTTTTTTTCCTAAAATTCCTCGAGTTTTTGTAAGGAAACATTTTTGGACCGTAGTTTATAAAACAAACTAACATTAATTTTTAATGTAGATTCACACCCTTAAATATTCGCATATCATGTATGCTTGTGTAGCGACGTTACTTGTTCTCTACATTTTACTATGGTGTTGAAGCATAGACGCCAACAGACAACACCACAATCTGAGAATCCTTTGATCACTGCTGCTACTTACGGATGTTACGAATATCCTACATACAAATACATTACGTTCCTAATGATGCAGGGATGTTACAGGTGAATAAATATAAGGAGGTGGTTGACACAGTAAGAAGAAGAAATATGTCTTACTTTTTTCATATTCATAGATGTAGAAAATATTAAATCCTGTAATTAATAATGCTGCGGTAAATAGTTAAAAGGGCATAAGTAATTTTTTTCGACATATATACAATCAACTTGCTGCTTTTGTACCAAGGAGGCTAGACGAGTTTTATTATGACCTCAATTTTTATTCTGATTTTAGTGTCATTCTCAATGAATACGTAAAATTGTCATAGGTTGAAAAATTTGACTTGTCTCTTTTCAACTTTTTGGCACAGAATGCGATTCAAGATTGCCGGCAAACGGGGTCCAGATCGAAGACGTACCTCATGGTTAAAAAATGTGCAGCAGTGGGCAGGTCTCACTTCCATATCACTATCATTCACTTACAATTAGATCACTGGTCTAAAAGGTGATATGGGCCAGGATGTTCGTCAAAATCCATTGACGGTATGAGACCAGAAGAAGAAGATGCATCCGAGAAACTGTCGAGTATTTCAATCGTTTTAATAAGTGTTGTTTCATTTGTTGCAGGGCATAACATTAAAGATGAACGAAGATGGCAAATGTATAGTAGCTCGGATCATGCACGGAGGTATGATCCACCGGCAAGCCACGTTGCATGTTGGCGACGAAATCAGGGAGATCAACGGGATACCGGTGGCCAACCAATCCGTTGGACAGCTGCAGAAAATACTCGTAAGTACTGCAGAACGGACTTATTATATTTATTTATTTTTTCTCATATCTTAATGGCTTCTGCTCTGTCAGTAATAATAATAATAAAGGACAAACCATTAAGTGACATTCAAACAACAATGATCAAAATCAAACAAGACATTCACACATTAAAAATTCCTCCAATAGAGTAAAAAGCTTTCTCCAGTAATAACTGTTTGACTGTTCTTTTAAAAGTGTTCAAATTGTTGGGGAGTCTGTTGAGTACATCTTGGAACAATAATCAAAACCTAAAATATTTACTTGTATCTGCTTGCTTTCGACCTGGATCAACATGCCTAAATTTATGGAATATCTTTCATGCTTTTTTCCAGTTTGATGACGGTACTACTTTGCATCTGATGACATTTTGAGAAGAGGGGAGCGATATGTTGGGGGTATAATCATTTCTAAAATGACAAATTTCGTTGTCTGGGAACCCCTAGAGCTCAATGTTCTCGGGAATTTTTAACCTCCCGACTTCATCCGACTAGTCTTGTATACCGAGTTCTCAAAGCTGGAGCTTTCCTTCACACTATACACAGTTTTGGTCAAAATAAGCAAAGCAAAACATAGATTAAGGTTAGTTTCTTTTTTCATCCCGAAGCAGCGGCCCAGGCAGAAGCCTGTGTCAGGATACCGCGGCTGCTATGAGATCCCAAAGAAATTTTGTCAATTCGATTTTTGACCCGCTCTAGGTTATTCTAACTGGGAAAAGCATCCTCTTGTAGATTGTTCCACAATCTTGACGCCCTCGGGACAAAGGAGCGGTTGTATTGATCAGTTCTGGATGTACTAAGTTCGGCACGATTAGGATGGGAGGCCGAAGTCAGACGGGTCTGCATCCGCTGCGTCATGGAGATCAGCTCTGAGGAACAAAAGCCCGTCGGTGTAGCGGCAGAAGATAGCTAGATCGCCGCCGGCAGCCAATGCGTAAAGTACCCTCAGCCCTAAACAAATAGAATAGCCTTTTCCCAGCAGCTGCCGCTATTGACGAGAGGTGCTCGTGCTAGGTCAAGTCCTCGGTGATCTGGACTCCGACGGCTCTTTGGCAGAACTTGACCATCCATAGAAACCGGATGAGTGCTAGGACATTTTTTGTTCGTCAAGGTACACTACTGTATTTTGGAAGCATTAAGCTATACAAGGTTGTTGTGCCCCCAAGCAGTGATAACCTCCAGGTATCTCGTCAGATAGAAAGTCCCGCTAGTATTTTTTTCCAGCTGACCTGCAGAGATCGGCTTGTCGCTCTGAATTCCTGCATGTAAAGTGCTGTCATCAGCAAAGCAGTGGATTGGGTTGATCGCACAGGAAAGGAGGTCGTTGATATGTAAGAGAAACAGTGACGGAGCCAAGTCCGATCCCTGGGGAACACCTGCATTGACATTGTGCGATGAACAGGAGAACCCGTCAATCAGTTAAGCGGGTTATTAAGATCTGAAGTCATATGTGATACGATAAATAAAATAAACATTTTCGAAAGCTTGACTTTCACAAAGGATCACGTTCTTTCTGGCTTTTAGCTGCTTTCCCGAGAATTTGTACTTAGATATTTTTCTAGTCCCTACTCTGCGACGCGCTGGTTCATTTATCTCATACAAAAGTCATTTGTATGAACGTCGAGGTGGATACATAAAGTTAACATTATGTGATTTTGAATCAACTTCGACCAGTATTTTTTAGCAACATGCGACATGGCGGCACAGAAGTTACTTATCAGATGAACAGTCGAGTACATTTCTTCATACTTTGTCGCTGCTATTTTACCATTTGTAGTTGTTTTAAAAAGGAAATCCCCAAGTTCCAGAACATCGCGTATGAATATCAAATACGTATAGAATATTTCAACCGAAGCAACGAACGATTTTCAGAATTTGATTGAGATTTTCTTATTTGCAAGCAAGATATCGCTGAACAATACTATTAACAAAGTGCATTATTTGCGTGTGACCTATTTTTTCGATAGAATTAGCCATGCACGTAATTTTTCATATACGAGGGATGTCTTTTAAGTTTTGCATATGGAAATAAAACAACACGGTAGGTAGTTTTAAATTGTTTTTCGAAGTATTCTCCAGGAAGATCAATACACATCTGCATGCCCTCGAACCAATTTTCGAAGCTCTTATTCCACTCGTTAGCAGGCAGATCCAAAACGGCATTTTTGAATACGTCAACTGCTTTTTCTGGTGACTGGAACCTTTGACCACGTAGTCTGTTTTTAATTTTCGGGAAAGTAAAGAAATCGTTAGGGCTTAGATCCTCTATAGGATGGTCCAATAATTCCACGTTTTCTTCCGTTATATACTGCCTTGCTTTTGGGCTGTGTGCGAGCTTGCATTGTCTTGGTGGAGGATGATTCTTCTTTCAGGGTTGATTTTTCGAAGCTCGGTGATGACTTTTGGCAAACAAATGGAGGTATACCAATCCGCAGTAACAGTTCTTTGCTCATTAAGAGGAATTGTTGCAATATGACCCGCTTTTGACACAAATGTCTCGACCATCTTTTTCGAAACACTTTCGAGAACGGGTGACTTTTGTTGGCTTTTCTTCACCTTGGAGCACCCGAACTGCCGACTGTCGGTTATTTTCTGGTTCATAACAGTAAATCCACGATTTATCACCACTAACAATGCTGTACATATTTTTTGAGTTTCCGGAATTGAAACGTTCAAGCGTTTTTGACACCAATTAACTCTGGCTGCTTTCTGCTCTTCATTCAACAGGTGGGGTATCCAACGAGAAACTAATTTTCTTACACCTAATTCTTCATGCAAAATTTTTTGAATTGACGTCTTTGAGATGTGCAAGGACGCCTCAATCTCGCGATATGTCACATGTCTATCTTCAATGATGAGATTGCGCACAACATCGACGTTTTCCTGGGTGACTGCCGTTTTTGGTGCACCCACCCTGGGATCGTCGCTAAGACTCACCCGTCGACGTTTGAATTCTCCATACCAACGGGAAATTGTCGACTGATGTGGCGCTTCGTTGCCGAAAACAGACAGTAACTCAGCAAGGCATTCTTTTTGCGATAATTGCCTCTGAAAGTTGTAATAAATTATGGCGCGAAAATGTTCTCGGTTGAGTTCCATTTTTCTAATGACTTGGCGACACTTAAATATTCACTGTAGTGAGAACACTGCACGTATTGTTGTGAAACTTTGAATTTAAGGTTACTAAATAGTGAGGTTAAGATTCAGTACTGACGTTCGATCCGCGCGGCCTACTATGTTTCTATATGCAAAACTTAAAAGACATCCCTCGTACACAATAGGCCTAATGATGTATGCACCAAAGAGAAAATAACAACATGCATCACTCAATATGTAAAAAAACAGTGAAAAACAACCAACAGGGAAGTGGTCGGCGGATTCATGCTTAGTTTTTCTGACGTTGATCGATCGCTTCATATGAAAAACTGATTCCGGGTAATTAGTGACGACCAGAACGATTAATAGTGGAGCAGGGTAGTGGAAATTCAGTTAGAGAAAACGTTCAAAAATTACTACGATGGCACAACAATAGGAAAAGCGAATCATAGCCGATAGAATCAATAATGCAACGTTTACTAGTTTTTTTCTATAAGCTTACATTAAATTAGCCATACTCATCCTAAACTTGCTGCTAATTCCAGATTTATCAGCACAGTCGAAAACAGTGTTTTCGAGCTGGTCATTCTATAATACTCCAAAACGAAACCGATTGACATTTGATATATCCAAAAAGCTGATTTGGGTCGCGTGACAATACTTGATGAATTACCTTCCGCCATTTTGCCGCCAACGTGGCGGATGCTACAAAATGGCGATTATTATCTCCATAGTAACCCCCATGATATGGGTATCAAATAAAAGAGATTAATGAGAGAAATATAACAAGCAACGTGAATTATTCTAACTCCATAATGGCGGCCGCCCCAAAATGTCTCTACTATGGGTATCGAATAAGAGGGATTAATGAGAGAAACTTAACAAGCAACGTGACTTTATTCTAAATATGGCGTCCGCCCCAAAATGCCTTGACCATTGGTATCAAATGAAAGGTTTTGATTAGGGAAACATAATAAGCAAATTAAGGTTATTCTGAATCCAATATGGCGGCGGCAGTAAATGGCGATTAACAATTCTACCTGTATTATATGGGTTTAAAATAGAAATGCTTGATGAGAGAAACAAAGTTCTAAATTTCATATGGTGGTCGCCGCAAAATGTCGCAAAATATGTGAACTGTGTAATCTATCGAAAATTTAAAGACAAATAAAGTAAGAAGTTTTATGGAGTCCTATTGATAAAATAAATGAAAAATATATAGAAGTTACTAGTTATTAGACGACATGAGTACTAAAAATCAAAAGATGAATTAAAGAAAAAAATAATGTTCCAAAAGCAAGCTTTTATTTATCTAAAAGTAAGTTAAATTTTTACACGATTTTTTATCTTGACGTTGAAACGTAACATTCTATTATTTGAAGTTTAAATATTTCCAATGGAAATAATATGATTTCAAAACATTTACAAATTCCTTTTCGGAAAGAACTATGACATTTAATTACAACAAAACACACTATATACCATTTTCTTGTAGAGATAGGCTCTCACCACAATTTAAAAAACTTGAATTTAATACAAGCTGTGGTCTCAAAGTTATTTAGTCAGCCGATAAAATGAAATGCATGAGCGTGATTTTGGACAAACACTTAAAATGGAATACCCATACATTCATGTACTTCAGAGATATTCTGGATAAAAAATATCTATATAATCTTTATTATGCTCAAATTTGGCTTGGGGGGGAATTATGAATAATAATTACAATTAATTTTAAAATTGATCCTCCATAAGGAGATTACTTATTCAAGTCATTCTCTATATATGAAGGCTAAGCTATTAGATTACGGACAAATTGATTTTTATTGTGGTCTGATACATTATTATTATTATTCAATCAAAATTCAATGTGTATTCCACAAACATCAAAAACGACGATCTCTGTTTTTCTTGGGACCTTCATACCAAAGTAATTAAAAGCAATTAACTCAATTAGATCATTTAAAAAAGAACTCAAAAATGGATTTTACAACAACCAAGATGCTCCATCCACGAAATTGTAGATGAGAAAAATCATTATCAAAATCAATAATATTTTACTTATACTAACATCCATACTTTTACTTTAGTTATAATTGCTTGGATATTCTTCCTGACATCCCCATAATAATTGAATTCACCAAATTATACTTCAAGTTTTTATTTTTAATAAACCCAAACACAAGTGCCATTTTTGTGGGTGTTTTATGTTTATTGTGCACAATATTTAATATTCACCTGTATTTTGTGACAATAAACATCATCATTATTATAAAAAAAAGTGTTTAGTTCGTTTCATTAACAGCTAAATAAAAGCTTGTTTTTAAACATGTATTTTTTTAATTATTGGTATACAAGATTTATTCGACTTTTTAATGCCTTTTATTTTCCAAAGTTCTCTGATTTGTGAGTTTTAAGATTCAGAATGTGTTAATTCGAAACAGTGGAAGAAAAAGAAGGTAATAAGTTGGATTTTCCGAACTCGCTCGCTCGCTCGCTATTCAATTTTAAAATTTCTCCCTACTGTCACAAAAACAACAGAGTTTAAATTTTCCTACGATTTTTGTTGATAACTTTTTCACTGACGAGTATATTATATATTATATATTATATATTATATATTATATATTATATATTATATATTATATATTATATATTATATATTATATATTATATATTATATATTATATTATATATTATATATTATATATTATATATTATATATTATATATTATATATTATATATTATATATTATATATTATATATATATATATTATATATTATTCAGGGTGACTTTGAAGTTGAGTCATTAATTTTCAGATAATGATTGTAGAAGGAAGATAAACCAAAATATGTGTGTAAAAATAAAAAAAAATTAAAAAAGTTTTACCTTGTTTTATAAAGTATCCTCCCGACAAGTATTTCAGTGCGCATCTGAATTTGATCGTGAGGTCTTGGAGCACCGGCATGCCGTCCCCTGTGAGGTCTTAAGTCACCTGATTCACGAGCCCGTTGTACTACATTAACAAAGGCACGAGGGGTTGGTTGCACTCGATTGGAAAACCGATCCGCATAAACATGTGCCATTTTTTATTTCGTTTGAGCCACGCAACAGACACCACTATTCACTCACGCGTTACTGACTGAGACTGACTGTATACAACTAAATAAAATAATTGTAAAAACATCGTTCCAAATTCTTTCGCTTTTTTGTTTCCGATGCGATGAACCGATAAGGCGGATTATATCCGTTGTTGCCAAACACGAGCACATAATATTATTATTGAGACAGGGCGGTACTCAAACTTCCAAAGGGCTATAACTTTGTTACTTTAATTTTACCAGAAAAATGGTAAAGGAAAAAACATTTCTTTTGATCAGATCTACTCGCTGTTAAAATAAATGACTCAACTTCGAAGTCACCCTGTATATTATATATTATATATTATATATTATATATTATATATTATATATTATATATTATATATTATATATTATATATTATATATTATATATTATATATTATATATTATATATTATATATTATATATTATATATTATATATTATATATTATATATTATATATTATATATTATATATTATATATTATATATTATATATTATATATTATATATTATATATTATATTTTATATATTATATATTATATTTTATATATTATATATTATATAATATATGTATATATAAAAGCGATATATCTTGCTAAATGATTCCGATATTTTTTTTTGTTTTCCAGAGGGAAGCCAGAGGTTCAGTAACATTTAAGATAGTACCTTCATATAGAAGTGCACCGCCACCTTGTGAGGTAAGTACATAATTATTGTATCACAGCAAACAGTTATATTTATATTTTGTTGAATTTAATTTACATGCTATTTTATTTGATTTTAATATTTCGTTCATTGTAAAACATCAGAGTTATGAAGGTAGACACATATTTTTAACATGTGAAATTAGGAATGTTCTACAATTAACTAAGTCACCCAAAAATAATCCCACTTACTTTTTATTCGCCATGTGTATGACATATGACGCATCCCATACTTAATTTGTTTGTTGTTTTTTATTTGTATTCTATAATGATTCAAAATTATCGAAATAGTAAACCATATGAAACATCGCTAAAAATGTATCAGGATCGAACTAAATACTTTTCCGATAAAATAATAATTTATGAAAAGAAAAAGCCGCATTAATCAAATAACTCAACGCAAATAATTGATTTGTTATTGAAATACGACATATATTGTTCGAGGCAACATATAAAGCGTACTAACTAATTGGTGAATATGAAAGCAGGCAGCGAAAATGAATTTTCTCCGGAATTGCGAATTCCGATGAATGCGGAATATAAATTGGTAGTAGCTATTTCCGATGTATGTATGGCCGAATTTATTTCGACGAATTAATATGAGAGCAAATTATCGTATTTTTTTTTTTGTACTTTTCGATAGTTTCCGTGACATTCAAATACTGGACAATAAAAAATTATTATGGTTCAAGGAGGGGTGTATCCATGATATCAAATTTGGAGTAGAGGTTAAGAAAGAAGGGTTGTTGTCGATTCAATGAAGTGCTTTTATCGATTGATGGGCTAGTTTAGAGAGAAGTTTTGTGAAACAGTTGATCCTCATTAGCGCGCACTGGAAACAATTAACATGAACAGAATGTCTTTACGTCCATTTTCTATGCATGCAGGTTATCATCATTTCGCTCGTGTCTTGGAAAAAAACGTATTCGAAATTCGTACTTTGAAACAGAACTCATTCAAGTCCCCAACCCTCCGAAGGTGTCAGCCAATAGGATTTGATTTTTATTCTACAGGGTGTTCGAAAAATAGACGGACATATCTTAGAGGGTAATTCCTTGTTCAAAAATATGAAAAACACTTTCTATAAACATTCGTCCGGAGATGAAGTGTTGGCAAGATACAGGGTGATAAATTTAATTTGTTTTTTATTATTTCTTAAAAAATATTTACTGGACTCTGGTGAAATTTGGCAATATTATTTGTTGTATTAATAGGCTAATTTTTTTATTTTTGTTTTCCAAGGCACTTGTGAGTTTTTTTAGCAAAAAATTAATAAATCAATTTTGTCCAGTGACATGCAATAAAACGGTTTTTTTTTTTTCGAAAACGATGTGCGATACGAAAAAAATATGGGATGCAAAGAAGTTGTATTTTTAAATGCTAAATCAATCAACAAATATTAAAGTTACAAAAAAAAGGCAGTGGCTTACATTTTTTGCCAATAATATTCGCTAAGATGCCCCCTCTTCCCGGACACCGCTGGTCCTAATTCCTTTAATCTTGAAAACTCTGCATTTCCCATCCATGTTTAAAGAAACTTTTTTTGATATTTTTTTCCAAGGAATCATTTTCTATCTTCTAATATCTCCGTCTATTTTTCGAACACCCTGTAGATACCAATAGAACGTGACTAATAATTTCATATCTGCCACATCGGGCGGAAGTTTAACCTCCATATAGGATCATTCTAAAACAGAGCGTGGAAGAACTTATTGTTGTATGTGTATGTTACTAGATATACAGTAATGGACAAAAGTGTATAGACAAATTAATATTGTGCTGTATTTATTTTTAACTTGTTTTATTAATACACCAACCTGTATACATAATTCCTTATAGCATAATACTCACTTATGCGTAAATAAATTCATTAGACTCCCTTCAATAAAAAACTAATTGAAAAAAACTGGAACTATGAAAGACAAAAATATATAGTCAAAGCAAAACAATTATAGAAAAAAGAAGCAAAGTTCATTGAATTATAGAAAACCAACGATATTTGTGTTAATATTTTGTAGCATAACCATTATTATCAATCACCGCCTGGCATCGTCTCGGCATAGACTGTAGAAGTTTCTTGATATAAGATTCATTAATCTGTGTCCACTTTTGCACCGGCAAAAAGTTCATCCTTGTTTGAATAATTTTTGTCTCGTATTTGATTATCTAAGTATTCCCATAGATTTTCAATGGGGTTTATATCGGGAGACTGTGAAGGCCATTTGAGAACTGGTATTCTTTCATCCAGAAAGAATTTCTTTGCGAGATTTGAAGTGTGCTTCGGGTCATTATCTTGCTGAAAGATTGATCTTAAGGGCATATTGTCTTCCATATAGGGTAACAGGACCTGCTTTAGTATGTCTGTGTATACAAACTTATCCATAATGCCATCTATTCTATGTAAAGGTGTCATCCCAAACCCCGAAAAGCACCCCCAAACCATAACAGTCCCGCCTCCATGTTTGACAGTGGGCAAAGCGTACTTGGGGTTCAATCTTTATCCACTAGGACGTCTAACGTAATGAACATCATCTGATCCAAACATATTGAATTTGGATTCGTCACTGAAACATACCCTCTTCCAGTCACAGATGCAACCGTGCAAATTGTAATCGGTCCTTACGGTTTTTCCTCGAGATTAGTGGCTTCTTACTCGGGCGACGTGCAAATAACTCCAGATCATTTAATCTTCTACTTATAGTTTTCGTAGAGACACTGACAATTCCTTTTGTCTCGATTTCGGCTTTTATTTGTCTTGAGGTTTTAAACGGATCTTTGGACCAAATTAATTTTATTAATCTAACTGATCTAGCATTTAGTTTTCTAGGCTGACCACTTCTCTAAGAGGCTTCCAAGATACCTTTTTGCTTATATTTGTTCAATATTTCCCAAACTGCTTTACGCTTCAGCTTCAAATTTTTGGCAATGTCGACTTGACATTGATTATCTTGTATAACTCAATGATGTTAGTTTGCACATCGAAAGAAATTTCTGGACCACGCGGCATGGTCTTAAAATCACTCAACTTATTCCAAAATACTTGATGAACATAAACTCTTCTGACACGAAACTGTACTAAACAAATGTTGAAAAGAATTTGTCTACATATTTTTATCCCTCATGAAAAGTGCTTATATTCAGACGTGTATTGTGTTCATTGGAGATAATGTAAAAACAAGGAATTTAGTTTTTCTTCTAATAACACATTTGTTCATGGAGCGATGAAGTATGAATTCGTTTTCTAAAGGTATTTAGGAAATATTCATATTGTCAATATACTTTTGTCCATTACTGTATATTTTCGAGGTCAATTTATTGGTACTACCTTGAAATAAATACTCGGAATTTCAGGTATTTACCACGAAATTGACTACCAGATGTGTACGGATGCAGATTCGGTGGGTTACACATATAATTTCAATCTAACAAGCTGACAGGTACTTTTAGATGTTGATCTAGGGTACATTTCCATTCATGAAAGAGAATAATTTTGAATAGGTCCTCCCAAATTGGATGCAAATTGAGAAGTCGTTAATTACTGCAGAGTAAACTGTTTTCAGCAACATATACCAGATACCATTACCAGCAGACAGTAGCTTCCCGTGTAAATGTCACAAGTTGAGTATCTATGAATGCAAATTTAGCTACCTTTTAATAAAAACAAATCATACTAATTCATATATTTTTTTTGAGAAAATTAAGCAATTCTATTCTATTCGTCATTGTCCGTCAGAGCGGTCCGTGGGACCTTCGCTCTTTGTTAAAGTATCGTAGGTCGGTAGGTCTGTCAGGTCTGGTTGCCCAGATACCAGACGAAGTCAGGGAGAAAGAAAGGAGGGAAGAGCAAGGATGGTGAAGTGCGCCGGTTAAAGGGATGCCTTGCTATTGTTAACTGGTATTCGGTTATTTTAAATTAATCCAAAAATTAATTTAGGTGTGGCAAAAATCGTAATTTTTTTTGGACCTAGAATTGCACGATTTGATTTTGATTACAGTGCGAGCCGTGGTGTTGTGTGCTTGCGAACTTGCTCGACTGTGTAGTCTACTTACTCACGCAACAGAGGGTTGCTGTGCGATTCCGCTTGACTATAACGTACCTGCGGCTGATGTTTGATGTAGTCCCTTAGGTAAGGGATGTCGTGGTCTCCGTGAAGGGTCTCGTTGGAGACATACCACGGTGCGTTAGTGATGGTTCGCAAGGTTCTGTTCTGCAAAACCTGCAGATTACGCTTATGCGTTTTGGCAAGAAAACACCATGCTACACATGCGTAAATAATACCTCATCCACCGCACTTTGTAATCTGTCGTGAACCAGATTCCCGGTACGCGACTGAGCCATCAGTGCAGTGTCATCAGCATATAGATAGACTTCACTGTCGCTAGGGCAAGGGACATCATGCGTGAAAAGTGAGTGAAGGATTGGCCCTAGAACCGAACCCTGAGGGACTCCGGCCCTGATGGGCCGTACTGTCGACAAGACATTATTAATTTTGTTCCGAAATTTCCTAGCTCCAAGAAAGGATTTCAAAAGTTTTAGTCGCCAAAATGGAAAGCCCTTTTGAATTAGTTTATAGAGAAGGCCCTTGTGCCACACGTTGTCAAATACCTTTGAGACATCCAGAAGCAAGAAGCCAGTACTTTCGTTAAGGGTGAAGCCCCTGGTTACTTGCTCCACAAACCTAACCGCCTGTAACTTCGTACTATGCTCAGACCGAAATCCAAATTGCACGTCAGGAATCACATGGTGATCTGACGAGAAATTCGCAAGGTGACGTGACCTTTTCAGCGAGCTTACACCGAGCAGACAGTAGACTGATGGGACGATTGTCTTGGGGAAATATCGAACCTACCTTCTTTGGAATCATGATAACTTCCGCAGTCTTCCACGCCGATGGAAAGTACTGGGTCCTTAGCATGGCATTGATAATAGCCACGAGATAAGTCAAGGACTTCCGTGAAAGCAGCTTCAGCTCCTTATTAGTGATTTGATCCTC